TTTATATACTGCGGTTCTAAAAGTAGAAAATCGACTGTTTTACGTTTTTTAATGATTTTAGTGGTGTTAATTGTTGTATATTTTATACCATAACACAATTAATCTATAGACTGTGATTCGTGTGATGGTACAGTCGGTTTTCTACTAGGATTATTGTCACAAGAAATTTCTCTATTGATTGGTCTACAATAAAAATAACGAGTCTAACATTTGATGCCTTGCTGTCTGACTACTCTTTTTGCTAATTCAATCGAATTATTTTCAACACGTCGCATGCAAACGGGCGTTGAAATCTCCAGCTAAGTACGTGCATATCGTGCGACATTAACGCCAGAAATGATCCTAGAAAATCCGTTCCTCGCGTTAGGTACCGTTGCGAGCCGTCGACGAATAAAGCCGTCCTATTTCAGCCAGCTCAGTCATTTCTCTCAGTCAGAATCCTCACGAAGGCGTTACCGTTCATCTACTCCTCGGTAGAAACTGTAATTTAGCTACCTAGTGCTCATACTCTACGGACTCCGGGAATATAATAGCCTCTGGTTTAACGGTCCTGGTCTCCTTCATCGCAAATCATGTTTTTCCTACGGGCGATAGTTTGCGCTTGAACAGATTTCGAGACCGATTACCTTGTCACAAACTGTTATTGCCACTGTCATTGTTTATTACATTTAACGGTTGAATTTAGAAATCGTAGTATCCAATAACATTCCAAGAAGGAGTTCAAAATCAGTAAATATTATATTAGTCATTAAATAAAATATTGTATTAATTACTATTTTAATAATTATTATAGGAAATGTATAATCAATTGAACAGTTTATCTTGAGAATTGCCTAAGTCCATTAATATTATTTTTTAAACAATATTTATTATGCTAATTAAAACCCTTAAATATTTCGGTTTAAAAATAAATAGATTTAGGCCAGGTTAAAAAATCGACTCAATTATTGAATTAATTTTTGTTATAATATTTATATCACGGCACGTATACATTCTCACTCGAGTCTATGAACATAAACAAGGAACGAAATCACTGCAATAACTAAAAGGTTCGCCTGATCCCACAACTGCTTCAGATATTAAGACTCCTACAATCTACCTACTTCTTTCAATTTCCCATAACNGGAAGTATCTTTTTCTAAACTGAAATCTCAATTATTTTAATTGTGGAACCAATTAGTTGATTCTTGTTCTTTCCTTTTGATGCTGGAATTCGATGCAATTAATTTCCTTCCTGTCACGATGACGAAATCGTGACAGTCGCCTAACGCAGGTAGCCACGATTTACTTCAGCCTGGTACCGCGGAGCGACCTACTTCAGCGACAGTATTCGTTGCACGGACGCACTCGATCGCAGAACTGGTATAAGGTACCACGAGGTACGATCTCGCTCGAATTGCGTACGAGCTCGATTCTTTTCGGATGTCTCGGCAATGCTGGCCATAAACCACTTTCACGCGCGTCACGATTTATGCCATAGTTCCACCAGAAAATTCGTAATGCAAGAAACGAATTATGAAACCAATTCTACTTTTAATTATTAGACGATAACTGATTGGTAAATGAAATAAGTAATTTATCTTATCACAATTGATTGATTAACTAGATAAAAAAAAAATGATTTCCATTTTATAGAACGATTAATCACTTTGACGTGTGTGTAAGAAAAGCAGCTATAAAAAAAATATTCGATTAGCAATTAAAATCAGCAGAAATCAAGTTAAAACTGTACC